CCCCCCGCGCCACGAAGTCTGCACTTCATCTCCGACACGCGCGCCTGCCACGAAATCAATATTTTAAGGTGAACTCCCCGGGGCATAAACTTCTAACCAATCATATATGCCTCCTGTGCTGGTTCTCTTTCTCTTTACTGTTTCTCTGCTAACGTAAGACTTTCTCTGACACCTACACTATTCCAATGTATTTTGCCAGCTACGACATCTCCCAAATTAGTCTAATCAGCTAGCAATTACTAAATATAAAACCTGCACTATTACTATTCCAATGTATTTGGCCAGCAGCTACGGCACCTGTGTCTCGGCTAAGGACACGAAATTGCTGTAATTAGCTAGGTGCTAATAAGAAACCTGCTCTATTCCAATGTTTTTGAAAAAATCTGAAAAACATGAAAAAACATCCAAATTAAACGTGCACCCCTTTTAAGCATTGACCCGTTTCAGAGTCCATGGTCTTCAAACAGGGGTGCTGGTTCTGAACCCCTTTGGGAATGTCACATGATCCTCTGAACATGCACCGCCTCAGCGCGGAGAGGTCTCGCCCACGTGACCTGTTTCCGCCACAGGGACTGACGGGGACCTGTGAGTTGAAAGGGGCTGTCATACAAGCTGCATTACATACAGAAAGTCCAGACACAAGTCCACAAGTCTAAAAGAGGTGCTGTTCACTGCTGTTCACCTGGACCTAGTGCAGATGGATGATCTACAGTGAGGTGCCGGCCCGATTGGCTCAGGAGATGTACGAGCAGCTGAGCTGCAAGAGGTGGCGGAAGAAGTGGACCGAGCAGAGTCATGATGCCCCAAAGTGGTCTTCAGATCAACCAGCTGAGCACGCCACAAAGAAAGCGTGGTCCTCTTCGGAACATGCAGGTGAGAAGTGGTCATCTTCAGAGCATGGAGCGCATGAAGGTGAGAAGTGGTCATCTTCAGAGCATGGAGCTGATGCAGGTGAGACGTGGTCATCTTCAGAGCATGGAGGAGGCGGAGGCAGGTCGGGTGCTCCAATGTGTCTCATATTGCCATATACTCATCGTGCAAACATATGAAACAACAACTGTTCAATTGTTTTCCGTATGATTGCTTTTCAATTCTCCGCTCGTTGCCAGGGTGGACGAGTCGCTCATGGCGCTATGAGCAGACCGGTGCGCTTCCGTAATGGTTGGTTGGGGGGAGCATTCGGGGGAGCGCAATGTTGGGGGGTTAGTGGAAGCAGATCGGTTCTGGTGGTTGTGGGTGGTTTGGCTGAAATGGAGTTCTGGAAGTAACTGAAGCGCCTTCTACAGTTCTACACTACACACTACACTGTTGGCCCTTTTCCTTCTTGTGTTCAAGTGTGGCCCAACTCGGGTCCAATCAGCATCCTTGGCAGGCGCTTGGAATTCCAAAAAGCAAGACTGGTGGCCAGAGGATGCAGGCATGGTTGAGGTGTTGAGCATTCTCCAAGCTTGGCGTCCAAGCTTTGCCATGCCCTCTGCATCACGAAAGCGGGTTGCAAAGGCGGTTTGCAGAAGTTGTTTAGAGCAGGAGGATTATATATATATATAATTGATGCGAATGGAAGTGCAGCGACATGTACAGTGCAACATGTACATATATATACATACCATATGTACTTTGGCTCAAGGATCAAGCGACTAGAAAAGGTGCGGTTTCCGTTCCGACGCTACGCCGCTTATGGACCGTCAGTGATAGCTTCAAACTACGCTGATTAAGATCCACTCGCAGGTTATCAGCCGTACGCGCTCTTTATAGCCGTACGAGCTACACGAGACCAAGAACAAGACTAGTCATTACAGAAACCTGCAATGTCAAGCTCAGGAGGAAATGGAAGCGAACCCTATTCATTCGCTGCTCCTGGTGGTCCCAACACCATTTCGTCACCAGACTCTACAATGGGTACTGATTCATCAGCAAATGCTGACGTTATCACTATGCCTACTGGATCACAAATCTCGGACAGATCCGTGCCACCGGCTCGGAATCTGACCGATCTTGCACCCGTAGGACCGAGAAGATCGATGAGAGCTACAACAAGATCTACATCGCCTATAACGTCTACCGCGAGATCCCCAAGAAGGAGTATAGAGAAGAGACGTGACGATGATAGAGGAACAAAAGAGCAAAGAAGAGAGATTCAGCTGGGTGAAGAATTGAGATCGGCGAGAAACGCATACAATTTTCTTCATCAAGAATATGAATGCATCCAAGCCGGATACTCACGACTACACCACGAGGCTGAAGTGGAGTTCAGGCAAATGTCTGACTACAACAGGAAGATGCAGGAACATCTACAGGAGATGACACAGGAGGATGAAGGAGCGACAATAAGAATTGAAGAGCTCGAACACAAGCTACGCTTGGCGGAATCGACAGCTGAACATATCTACATGAGATATCAAGAGCTTGCACAAGAAACTCATCAAGAACATTCAGAACTTGAATCTGTGAAAGCAACGAAGGACAGAATGTCCCAAGAGCTTCAAGCAGCAATTGGACACATCCAAGAACAGAATGAATCTTCATTGGCGATCAATAGAAGATCAAAAGCCATTCAGGATGAGAACACAGCCTTCGTTGGAATAGCTGACCAGATACAAGCTAGAATGATTGCGCTACAGGATGAGAATGTCAACATGCACGAGGTGATCCAACACCAGAGAGAAGAACAATGGAACAGTGAGGTCAGGGAAAGACGTCTTCAACACAGTGTTCACTCATCTCAAGATCAGAGCAATCAGGAAGCTATGGTTATTGATCATATACGAGGTCAACTAGCTATGGCACGTGGAGCTGAACTCAACGCGAAAGCGGAGATGGGAGAGATGGAAGTGGGCATGAGGATGGAGATGTTTATATGCCAGACTGAAGTCTCTGCTAAAGAAATGGCAGATGCGAAGGCGAGCCACCACGAATACGAAGCAAACGTCGCAAAAGAGGTTATCGCAAAAGGAGAAATATTCAACAACGAAGTCCTAGAAAGTTCCATCCGTGAACGACAACAATTGAAAGACGTCAACCTCGCTCTATCCGAAGCCAACGCACAGCTGAAAAGAGAGAATATGATGAGAGCTCCTATGTTCGGCGATGATGGTGCAGAAATTCAACAGAAGATCAGAGAACTGGAGGATGCACTATTGGAAAGCCAGAAGGAGACAAAGAATGTCATTATGGAAAATGCGAAATTAAAAGCAGAAGCACGAATGGCACCCATAGTCTCTCGGTACAGCAAGCGTCCTAATTCCAGAGACCGCGGGTTACCAACCCACGCGTCCGAGGAAGATGAGGTTCGGAACGCAAAAGAGGAGGCGAAGCACTACAAGGACGGGTACAATGAAATGACAGAGAGCCGAGATGAGATGTATGAATGGTATGCCGAAACCCACAATGAGTACGCCGAGGAAAGGGAGAAATCAATTGAGCTATCCGAGGCGAACAAATCATTGAGGGACAAGATTTCAGAAACAGAGGCATCCTCTTCATCTCATCTTGCACCGGCAACCTCTACTGTCATGAAAGTATCGAGGAAGGAAGAATCAAAGATAAACGTTCCGTCATGGCCCAGGATCAATGATATTGGATTATGGAAGGCAAATCTCATTCAATCAATCATCATTGCGGCCAATGATTCAGATCAAGAGCCCTGGATCGACTGGATCAAAGAAGCCATGGACGAGCCTGATCCGGACAAGTTTGTCGACTCAGGAGACCAAAGATTCCATTCAATCGATGCCAAACTCGGCCTAGCTCTTACCAAGGTCGTCATGGATGCGAAAGATGATGGTTCAGGTGTAGCTATGAAGTTGAGGACGAGGATCAATGCAAAAGGGAGAACATCAAGCCTCATAAAGGGAAGAGAGGTCCTAGCCCTGATCCTTATGAATTTCAAGACAACATCAAATGTGGAAGTCTTATATACTTCAATGCACCTCTACCAACTAGAATATCAAGGAGACAAGAACTTATCGTTGTTCTTCCACACTTGGGATGAGATTCTGGCAGGAATGAAGCCCGTTGACGTCCCGAGCGACGAAACTCTTCGGGATCTCCTATGGAGAAAGATCAGGAACTCAAACCTCATGGCATACGACATCAGCGCCTACAATAGCATGAACGACGATGATGCCAAGAAGACATACAAACATCTACGTGATATGATCAGAAGGCACATCGAACGGCAAACTGAAGACAGGATGATACTGGAAAAGGAGAAGGCAGTGAAGAATGTGGCCAATATCTTTCAGAATCTCAAACCAGGCGGACCTGCTCCAAAACTGAAAGCTGCACCAGCTGATCCGAAGAAGAAACCAAAAGGGCAACAAGAACAGGTTGTCCCAGAAGACGCTGCTGCAGTGAAGCCGAAACCCAATCCCAAGAAGCATCCTGAAGACAAGAACAAAAAGAGAAAGGGGAAAGGTAAAGGTGATGGAAAGGATCGAAGCCGAAGTCCGAGTACAGACAAAAGGAAGATACCGTGCAAATTCTTCGTGAAAGGTAACTGCACTATGGGGAAAGATTGCCCATTCATTCACAAGAAACCCAGATCACCATCCAGAGGACCTTCTGTCGGAAAGAATGACAAGCCAGTATGTTGGATGTGGATTCGAGGAACTTGTGACAAAGGGAAGGATTGCAAGTTCTACCATGACCCAAAAGCCTCTCCTAAGAAAGGGATATCTGCACCAGCTGACTCAGGAGACGATAGGCCAAAGCCCAAGGCAAAACCCAAACCGAAACCTAAGGCGAAGCCTGGAGCCCCAGCCATTGGCGGTGAACTCTTCATGGACGAATCCGAAGATGAAGGGATTGCTGCATCCGCCAAGGCAAGAGAAGGAGGTGCAAAAGTATTCTTTGATGAAGAGACTTGTGAGATCATGTTGAATGAAGCGATCTACTCAATCAGGGACAAATGGAAGGTAGTGGAAAAGAAACCTCTACGTCCGGACATCAAACGATACGATGAGAAAGAGCTCACCTGCTACACGAGGAAAGAACAAATCAGATTTGAAGAAAAGGTCGCAGAGGCAAGAGGCATATTGATGGTCCCCTACACTGAGATCAAGAGGGTCCGAATACCAGTTGGACCAAAGGGTGACCTAGCGGTCACTATGTCTTTCGACGAAGATGACGGCCTAGTTTTTCATCATAAAGTCATTCCTCATGTATGCGAGGGAAAGAAAGATCATGCAGACACAAAGACATTGTCTATTCCAGCCAAAGGGTCAAGAACGAAGTTCATCATGGACACAGGATGTGGATATGATTCGATATCGAAAGGCAGAGCCAAGAAATTAGGTCTGGAAGTGAGAGAAAGCGACCAATCAATGTCATTCTATACCGCAAATGGAGTGACATCCACAAAAGGAGTCGCTGACATTCATTTCGACGAATTTGACTCTACCTACTCCCCATTCGTTCTAGATGAGTCTCCTTCAGTACTGTCTGTTGGAAAGAAATGCATGGAGGAAGGATACACATTCATATGGCCAGCCTGCGGCAACCCGTACATGATTTCCCCGAACTACAAGAAAATCATGTTAGAAGTAGAGGGAAACATCCCATATATTGTCAAGGGTAGTGATTTCTGTACTCCCACCGACGATACAAGGGCGGAGATGATCGCAAGGTTCACCCTAGGAGAAGATGAAGTTGATTACCAGTCGACTTTCATCAACTGTGATGTGGATCCTCAAGGAATCATGTGTGATGATGACGACCTTCCTGTGATTGAACCTCCAAAAGTCAAAAGGCGAAAGAGGAATAAGAAGTTCAAGGCATCTCCTGGGGAAGAAGATGAGGTAGGATCAGATGTCGCCGGAGACAGTGAACCAGAAGCTGACGATGATGATGCAGATGACATCGAGGTGGATGTTGTTGACGGTGCAAGTAGAATGGTGAGAAGAGGAACTCTGAAAGCAGATGCCAGGAAAATCGAGCATCTACTCACACATCGTTACAAGAATCCCTACTGTGAGTCATGCATCAGAGCAAAGATGAAACACTTCAAGACGCATCGAGGAGCGTTCAAGAGAAAGCTCAAAGCTTTTGGAGATCTGGTTACCTTTGATTTTGTCGATACGAGGAACATCCTTGATCAAGGGATCAGTACTGATCGAGAGATCTTCGTCATTCGTGACAGGTACACAGGCGTCATATGGGCCTATCCATCGAAAGAGAGGTTTACCAAGGACGTGGTCAATGCAATAAACCACTTCAAAGGATTGAAGAAGATCAAGATTGCTTATGCCGACAAAGCCCCAGAGTTTGAGACGGCTATGAAGCAGCTGAAGATCCCATTCGATCACTCTCTACCGAATCATCCTCAGAACAATTCTCTGGCGGAGAGGAACAATCAGTTCATTATGATGACAACCGCAACTTGTCTCTTGGAAGCGGGGTTACCACCATGTTTCTGGA